GTGTATTTGGTTTTGGTTATATATTTCATTTCTATATATTATTGTATATGATTTAATTAAAAAAATCTTTAAGTAAAATGTATAAAAAATGAATAAATATTTATGCAACAGAGAATTTAAGTCAGCTTTAATTTTTTCATGCTTTTCATTTACACTTAGATATTCTGGTATTAAATATTTCAGCATTTAAATAACTAAAGCTTGGTGTATCACGCTCGCATTGAAAAAAAAAGTCTCCATTTGTTAACTGCTCATAAAAACAAACTGAAAATCAACAGCAACTGGGAAACGTGCGGGGCCAACGCTGTGGAATCACAATGCTGGCCAGTTGGTTGGATAAACTTTGTTGCTCTGCCGTAAATGGAATTTACCCATGAGCTAACGCTGCAGAGTTGCTGGGTTGTTGTTATCGTTGGCCGGGGGGAGGGACAGAGAGGTAGCTGCTGTAAATTTGTTAGTTGTACAATTAAAATTGCAGAATTGTGAAACACATAGACTGAACGACGAGTCGACTGACCTATGCACTTCGAATCCAATTGTTCGGGTAACCTGGCCGAGCTCAACACCTTTAGCAATAGACGCAGCCATCGCCCCACATCAGACGTTTCTTAGCTCTGCTAAATTGTTTTTCGACCACAGAACTCGTTGTGAGTCGTTTATTGAAAAGTTGTGCTCCAACTGCAAATTCCAAGCTGGCCAACAGCAAAATTTCTATATGAATTACGGCGCTTAAATGTATGCACTCTTTCATCATCATCATCATCATCATCATTTTCATCATCAGGTAGACAACGATGATGCTTATGGGACTGAGGAATAGCCAACTGGTAAATGAACATTTTTCAGTGTTTCGTTGTTTTGTTTAGCTTTTAATTTAGTGCCCCTGGTATTTTTTTTGGGGCTACGTGCTTGTGTGTACGGGGTTTGCTCTGGTCGAGTCTGGTAGAGGCCTTGGTTTGGGGGTATGGGGTATGGGGGCCTAGGGTCTGGATAGCTGGGCATTTCTGGCACTCGTCCAGCTCTCAGCCCCTTACGAATTTATATTAAAAATTATTTATTGCATTTTCTGTGTTGTCAGGTTCTAGTTGTAGTCCTCTTTTTTTGTTCCAGCAAAAAGCCAAAAACTTTTTAATTGCTCTTTCAGTTGTTGTTACTGCTGTTGCTGTTGTTGATTTGAATTGTTTTTTGCACTTTGGCTGCTTCCTGTTCGATGGAGACACGTACGTGCCTTCATTTTTCCCTAATGATATAACGTGATCTAATGGCTCGCACACGTTTTACGGCTCTGCTTGCGCAGTTACTGTTTATATACTTCAAAGCTAATGATGTACTGCTATACAGCTCTTTAAAGCCACACTTAAAAGAGACGAAAGAGAGAGAGAGAGGAAAAGAGAGAGGGCGAGTTTTCAAAATATATGATCCATGGAGTACAGGGCAAAAGTTTATTAAAGTCTCTGCTTCACTTGGAATATTCTAAGAATTTGTAGAGACAAAAGCGTTTTGTTTATTGAATTTGATATAATTGTGATATATGTTTTATCCTTTTCCTTTAAGCAGTTCTCTTTGTTCAAAAAAATATTGGTTTATGTACAAAGGGAATTAAATTTCTCAGAACAAGAACTTCTGTTAAAAAAAAAATATTTATGAAATAATTGTCGATTGATATTGTAAGTCAAACATGGGCAGCAAAAAAATTGGAAGAAAAATATTTTTGTTTTCACACTTAACATTGGCACTCAAATCCCAAAAAAAAGGGTTGAAGTTTCAGGGCATAGGAATACAACTAAATGATAAAATAAATTTATAAAAAAAAAAAATGGACAAATCTAGAAAATTAAGTAGAAAAAAACCAATTATGTATGCAAAAAAAAAAAGCAAAAATATATTCAAATATTTTACAGCAAAAAATTAAAGCAAAAATATTTTAAAATATTTTACAGCTATGATAGACAGCAGGGCAACAATTTATTTATTTTAAATAGATTTTATTCATTGAAAACTCTGCACTTGCATGTAAAATAGAGAGCTTAGCTTTTGTCCATTTCTTCATTACAAGCATTGTGGATAAATAGTTAACTAAGCTGAGTCTAGAAATTTATTTTCCAGCCAAATAATACATAAATGGAAGAGATATTGAAGCTTTACTGTATTATGAATTTAAGCAAGTTGCGCAATAATTTATTTATTTTTTATTATTAATATTATGAAGTCATTTTATTGTTAGACCTTTGCAGAAAATATTGCAAAAATATTTTGCTGTTGCATTAGCTGCGCCTTCAAATTGCCGTACTCAAATTGCTTTTTAGAACTGGAAAATTGGCAAGTTTTGTACTTGAAGGCAGGCAGAAGAGGAATTTAACTCGTTTTCATTTTGCTGCTGCTGCTGCTGATGCTGTTATCTGTGGTTGCCTCTTCACAATTGAGTCTGCTTTGTGCGCATCATTATGACGCGCACTTCACATTTCCGTTGCGTGGGTCTCTCACCATTTTAAATATTTTTATGGGCTTCCCTTTTCTTTGTTGTTTGCTTTTACTTCTTTTTTTTTTTTTTGCCTGCAAATCCTCTTAAAACATTTTTGTAGGCGGAGTCGTGAGAGGTGTGGCATGTGGCACCTCAGTTCTTTTTATTTTTTTATTAGGCAGCGTGAATGCCGCAAAGGGCAACAGGTAAAAGCGGCGTATGCGCAATATTTAGCTTAAGCGCTTAGTGTGCTATGCAGCTATGTGCCTCCGTGTGTTTGTATGTATGTGTGTGTGTATGTGTGTGTAAAGCGTATTGTCTGCCATTGTTCTACCTAGACGACTGGCAGCAATTGGTGAAGCGAGCCAGGCCGCCGTGAAATATTTCACTTAAGGCAGCCGCATCGAGTCACCTGTTGCCCACAACAAAGGCCCTTGGCCAGGGTATATGAATTGGCTGGACTGCCAGGCTCAGAATATGCTCACTGTGCGCTTGAAGTGTGTTTAAGCATGACACTTTGCCATTAGCAGCACCACCTGCAGCACGGTGAACCCATACACACGCACACACACACACACCCCAAAAGTGTCGTCAATGTCTCGGCAATGTCCTTGGCGCTTTGTTTGTGTCCTGTCCTATCAGCAGC